AGAGGAACCTCTGCAGCGCCTTCTCATTGAGCTCATCTTTCATTGAAGCTTCCTCTCACATCCCTTGCGGTGGCGTGCAGCGTCCGCAGCATCCATCTACATTAGGACTCTCCATTTTGCAGACGTCAAATTTCATTTTCCCTTGCGGAATCTGCCAACGAACATCACTCGGAGATTAATTTCGTACTAGTATTGCACTTCCTTCTCGAGCGTCTGTAATACTCATATATGAATTGTGAAATTTCGCGATAGTTCATCTCTGCAACTCTCACTGGATTTTCCTTTAACCCTAGGGCTGCATTCATGGAATGCCCATTCACTCCGTTGGCACGCATTCTCCCTAGCGATGGATCGCTTATTCTTTTGTTTTTCTGTCGCAAAGTGTGAACGCTGTCTATTGCTGCTATCGCTTCTGTACTTAGTGATCCTTTAGGAGGCTTCCATAGGGTGCGTCTTGTCATTGCTAAATTTTTTTGCGAAATACGACCCCACCCTCCAAATTTCCTCATCTGGTGTGACCCCTCTTCCCCGTCCTACGTTACATCTTGAATGTAACCCAACTGCCTAACTTCACTCCGGAGGAACCGTCTAGTTTTCCCCCAACAAGCTGCCGCGCCGTCGAGCGCGCAGAGGCAGAAGGGGGTATACAGCAAGATTTCCCGATATCCTGCGATCGGACACGCCCCTCGCTGGAGATCCCCAACGTACGACGTGATCTGTTCCGCGATCAGCAAGGCTTTTATCTGAAAGGTGGAAGTCAAAAACGGAACAGCATCTGCTGCTGATAGATAGCCCTCCTTCACTGCAGGACACTTCGCACGTGGAGTATCTACAGTGGGTCGCTTGGTGGCTGAAAGAAGGGGGGGGGGATCGTGCTCTGGCTCAAGAAGGGATTTCACAGTTCTTTTTTTCCTGCTTCACGCGCGCGATACCTCTTGTCCCCTTTCCTGACAGCCACTGCTGCGAAACTATGTTTTATGCCTGGTAGAGGATCTGTGACGCTTCCCCCCCCCCTGCAAATCTTTGCAATAGTTTGGTGGAGCACTAGCAAGAAGTGAGGGAAGAGATAATGGGAGCTGTGAAATGGGGTCATATTTCGAAAACCTCTCTACCGAACGCCAGGACGTACACCCATACGATTCAGGGATTAGTGATGGAACGCGTGAGACGGATTTCAGAAGCAAGCATTCTCATCTGCTTGACATGGCATCAGTTTTTGCACAAGGAGTTCTTTGAATGC